AGATATCTTTCAATGTCTATGTTATTGAGTTGATATTTTATTAATTATTATATTATAGATTAGATAATTTTTTCGATAACATTAGTTATCGATAACAAATTTTATCGAATACAAAAATATTCGGTAATGATGTTTTCCCCTAAAATATAGACATATAGACAATTAGTTAATTTATCGATCACAAAAATGATTGTTATCGATTGCAACATAGTTCGATAACAATGTTAATGACTAAAGAAATCTGATCGATAGCAATGTAATAAAGCACTATAAGTATATTATCAAATCGAAAATTTGTCATTTATTTTGCTTTATCGAGTAGGAAATGTATCGATTATAAATTTTATCGAGTAACAAAATTGATCGATAATAAATTTTATCGATTACAAAAATTTTGCGATAATTTTGTTTTGACATATAAAACCGACATTGACCACAAAACTGATTGTTATCGATTACAACATTCGATAATAATGCTAATGGCTAAAAAACGGATCGATAAAAATGTTAAGGTTTAGAAAATTGATCGATAACAATATTATCGAGTAGAAAATTTATGGATAACAATATTATCGAATAGAAAATTGGTCGATAACAATATTATCGAATAGAAAATTTATCGATATGAATATTATCGAGTATAAAATTTATCGATAACAATATTATCGTGTAGAAAATTTATCTATTACAAAAATTTTGCGATAATGCTATTTTCTCTTTTAATATTGGCATATCGATAAATTAATCAATTGCCTAATTTATCGATCACAAAACTGATTGTTATCGATTACAACATTATTTGATTAAAATGTAAATTACTAAAAAATCTGATCGATAATAATGTTATCAATAATGATCAATAATGAAGTAGAAAATTTAAAAATTACAATTTTATCGAGAAGAAAATTTATCGATTATACAATTTATCGATAATAAAATTTATTGGTAATAAATTTTATCGATTACAAAATGTAATGATATTTTTTATATGATGCTGACATATAGACAATTAGTTAATTTATCGTTCACAAAACTGATCGTTATCGATTATCGATTGTTCAATAATGATGCTAATGACTAAAAACAGGGTCGATAACAATGTTATAGACTAGAAATGTATCAATTATTATTTTATCAAGTTGAAAATGTATCGATAACAAAGTTATCGATTATAAAAGAATTATCGATTGAAAATATTATCGTTTATATATATGCAAATAGTTAATTTATCGATCACAAAATTGATTGTTATCGATTGTTCAATAATGATGCTAAAAAACCAGATCGATAACAATGTTATAGATAAATGTTATCGATTATAATATTGTCATATAGACAATAAGTTCATTTATCTGTCGTAAAACTGATTGTTATCGATGTAATCGATTACCACATGACTCGATAATTATCCTCATAATTAAAAAAAACAGATCGATAACAATGCTATATATCAATTACTTTATTATAGTGCCCAACATTTATCAAAAACCATGTTATCGATTATAAAATGTTATCGATAACAAATTTTATCGATTACAACATTTTTCAATATTGATGTTTTCTACTATAATATTGATTTATAAAATAATGTGATGGTTCGAAAACGATGTTAATGACGAAAAAAAAACTAATCGATAACAATGATATCGAGTGGAAAATTGATCGAGTACTCTATTATCGAGTGGAAAATAGATCGATTACAAAATTTATCGATGACAAAATTGATCGATAATAAAATTTATCGATTACAAAATGTATCGATGACAAAATTTATCGATAACAACATTTATCGATAACAACATTTATCGATAACAAAATTTATCGATAACAACATTTATCGATAACAAAATTTATCAATAACAAAATTTATCGAGTACAAACTTGATCGAGTACTCTATTATCGATTGGAAAATAGATCAATTACAAAATTTATCGAAAACAAAATTTATCGATAACTAACTTTATCGATAACATAATTTATCGATAACAAAATTTATCGATAACAAAATTTATCGATAACAAAATTCATCGATAACAAAATTTATCGAGTACAAAATTGATCGAGTACTCTATTATCGATTGGAAAATAGATCAATTAACTAACTTTATCGATAACATAATTTATCGATAACAAAATTTATCGATAACAACATTTTTCGATAATAAAATTTTTCGATAATCGTGTTTTTCTGCTGAAAATTTTTCTTTTAGGTCATATTTGTGTCCCTGCCATGCCCCTCTCTCTTCGCTCTCCCTCTCCTTGTTTCGAAAAGTAGCACAACCATAATAATGTGGTGACATCTCCCACCCTGTTGTTGATTGTATTTTGCGGCCTTTCAATTTCATTATGTGCAACACAAACTAAACAACCTACACTCTTTCCCCTACCCTCTCCCCCTCTCTCCTCTCCCTCCCATCCCTCTTTAAAAACCTTACAGAAAAACGAACGAAAAGAACAACTTGAGATAAATGCATTTGGTCTTAGAGAACAAAAGACTGCATTAAATCGAGATGATGATGACGACTAGAATGGGAATGGGGGTATGATGCACGATGTCGATGATGATGAGGCATCATCATTCATTCAGTCATTCATTCCACTATTCATTTAAGTGGAGATAAAGTCTGTTTTTTTGTTGCTGTTGGGGGTTTTTTGTCGTTGCCATGCTTTTCAATGGAAAATGAAAGTGGTTTGGTTTTAGTGAAAGAACATCTTTGTTTGGAAGACGAAGAGGAAAAGGATGGGGTTGAGGGTTGGAGGATGGTGATGACGACAACCATATTTCCTAAGGCACGACTTGGAACAACAATAATATTTACTAAAAAATGATGTCACTGCATCACATTTCCCTTCTTTTGTGTATCATCCTCATCATCATTTATAGCAAGCCAGAGGCATAGAAAATGGAGTTCCTTTTTGTACTGCTACTACTAGCCTCAAGGCCCTATTTGGGGGGTGGGGTGGAGGCACCATGATGCTATGCTAACACATGGAGGACGGTACAAATGTTATGGTCTCAATGTTGTTAGAATAGCATTTCCTTTTTCTCCCCCCACCTTTTATGATAGGTAGGTAGGTAGGGTGGGTTAGGTGGTTGCCACCACCTTCATGGGATCTGCAATTGTAAAACAAATAGTAGCAACAACAAAAACAACAACTACAACAACAAAAAATCACATATATGAAATTGTATATAGTTGTGTAGTGTTTTCCGAAAGTGTGACAGTTGAACAATTTTCTATGTTTTTTTATTTTCTCGGTTCGGTTCTTTCGTTAGTTTTTTTTTCTATTTTCTTTTCGCCCTCTATTATGAAGTGATGACCTAGTTTTGTCACTGCTAAACGACAACAACAGCAACAACATCATAAAAAAACCTGCAAATGCGAATTTGAATACAAATTGCAAAATCGTGTCGTCGTTCTCAAGAGGTGCAGGAAAACGAGGTGGTGGAGGGAGAAGGAGCGGATTCACCAGAATAAAAGGGAAATGTTTTGAAATAGTTAAACAAAATATTTAAATAGAAGCTAGGGGGGATATCCTTTTGGGGGAAATTTGTAACTTTGTTTCCGCTTATCATTTTGTCAACAGAAAAAAGGCTTTGTTTTTTAAATAAATTTGAAAGAGATCCATATAAGGTGGCGATTTTTTAAATATTTTTTTTCAGGGACCTATATAAGGCGTGGAATTTTTAGGGACCCATATAGGGCCTGGAATTTTGAAGAGACCCATATAAGGCATGGATTTTTTAAATAATTTTTCAAGAGACCTACATAAGGCCTGGTTTTTTAGGGACCCATATAAGGCGTGGATTTTTTAAATAATTTTTTTAGGGACCCATATAAGGCGTGGATTTTTTAAATAATTTTTTTAGGGACCCATATAAGGCGTGGATTTTTTAAATAATTTTTTTAGGGACCCATATAAGGCGTGGATTTTTTAAATAATTTTTTTAGGGACCCATATAAGGCGTGGATTTTTTAAATAATTTTTTTAGGGACCCATATAAGGCGTGGATTTTTTAAATAATTTTTTTAGGGACCCATATAAGGCGTGGATTTTTTAAATAATTTTTTTAGGGACCCATATAAGGCGTGGATTTTTTAAATAATTTTATTGAGGACCCATATAAGGCGTGGATTTTTTAAATAATTTTTTTTAGGGACCCATATAAGGCGTGGATTTTTTAAATAATTTTTTTAGGGACCCATATAAGGCGTGGATTTTTTAAATAATTTTTTTAGGGACCCATATAAGGCGTGGATTTTTTAAATAATTTTTTAGGGACCCATATAAGGCGTGGATTTTTTAAATAATTTTTTTTAGGGACCCATATAAGGCGTGGATTTTTTAAATAATTTTTTTTGGGACCCATATAAGGCGTGGATTTTTTAAATAATTTTTTAGGGACCCATATAAGGCGTGGATTTTTTAAATAATTTTTTTAGGGACCCATATAAGGCGTGGATTTTTTAAATAATTTTTTTTGGGACCCATATAAGGCGTGGATTTTTTAAATAATTTTTTAGGGACCCATATAAGGCGTGGATTTTTTAAATAATTTTTTTAGGGACCCATATAAGGCGTGGATTTTTTAAATAATTTTTTTAGGGACCCATATAAGGCGTGGATTTTTTAAATAATTTTTTTTGGGACCCATATAAGGCGTGGATTTTTTAAATAATTTTTTAGGGACCCATATAAGGCGTGGATTTTTTAAATAATTTTTTTAGGGACCCATATAAGGCGTGGATTTTTTAAATAATTTTTTTTGGGACCCATATAAGGCGTGGATTTTTTAAATAATTTTTTAGGGACCCATATAAGGCGTGGATTTTTTAAATAATTTTTTTAGGGACCCATATAAGGCGTGGATTTTTTAAATAATTTTTTTAGCGTCCCATATAAGGCGTGGATTTTTTAAATAATTTTTTTAGGGACCTAATGACTTTTTTATTTTTTTGGAAATTACATTTTTTTTATAACTATTTTTTTTTTCTAGGCGCCCTTCAAACCTCTCCGTTGTCTGGACTCGGCGTTCACGTCGTGTTGCCTCCGCCCCACTGCCTTGGGAGCCGGATATGATGAATCCGCTGGTCGGCAATGTTACATGGCCCGTTCCCGATAATCATGCCATCACCGTGACACTGTTCAAAGATCCGCGTACCCATGAACTGGAGGATAAGGATTGGACTTTCGTTATAGAGGATGTAAGTAAATTGAGAAAATATAGTTAAAAGTTCGCATAGGACGAATAGGTCGCATTTATGATCCGATTTATACGAAATTCGGTACAGCTCATTTGTTTGCCCCATGGACGGCCGCAAATAAAATTGGGAAAAATTGGTTCAGATTTAGATATTGCTCTCATATATATTTTCGTCCTATTTCATGCAAATGGTGCACCAAAGTCCCTATATATCATTCGATTTGCACGAAATTTGGCGCAGCGCACTTAATTAAGTCTAGAATGATGTGTGCTAAGTTTCGTGAAAATCGGTTCAGATTTAGATATAGCTCCCATATATGTTTTCGTCCGATTTAATATAAATTATGTATCAAAGTCCTTATATATCCTGTGATTTGCACGAAATGTGGCACAACGTACTCAATTGAGTCCAGAATGACGTGTGCTAAGTTTCGTGAAAATCGGTTCAGATTTAGATGTAGCTCCCATATATATCTTCGTCCGATTTAATGTAAATGATGCACCAAAGTCCCTATATATCTTTCGATTTGTGCGAAATTTGGCATAGCGTAATGAATAAGGTCTAGAATGATGTGTGCGAAGTTTCGTGAGAATCGGTTGAGATTTAGTTATAGCTTCCATTTATAGTTTCGTCCGATTTTATGTAAATGGTGCACCAAAGTCCTTATCCATCTTTCGATTTGCACGAAATTTGGCGCAGCGCATATAATGAAGTCTAGAATGATGTGTGCTGAGTTTCGTGAAAATCGGTTCAGATTTAGATATAGCTCCCATATACATTTTTGTCCGATTTTAAGTAAATGGTTTACCAAAGTCCCTGTATATCTTTCGATTTGCACGAAATTTGGCACAGCGTACTGAATTGGGTCTGAAATGATGTGTGCTAAGTTTCATGAAAATCGGTTCAGATTTAGATATAGCTTCCATATACATTTTTGTCCGATTTTATGTAAATGGTGCACCAAAGTTCATATATATTTTTCGATTTGCACGAAATTTGGCACAGCGTACTGAATTGGGTCTAAAATGATGTGTGCTAAGTTTCATGAAAATCGGTTCAGTTGTAGATATAGCTCCCATATATATCTTCGTCCGATTTTATGTAAATGATGCACCAAAGTTCATATATATCTTTCGATTTGCACCGAATTTGGCACAACGCACTTAATTGAGTTTAGAATGATGCGTGCTAAGTTTCGTGAAAATCGGTTCAGATTTAGATATAGCTTCTATATAGAATTGCAATTTAATTTTACTGGTCCTTTAAGAATGCGACTGGTGGTATATGAAAGATTGTCTAATTTGTTTAAAAAATATGGTGGAATTTTTTTTTTTATTAAAAAATTGATCGAATATTTTTTATAAGAAAATGGTATAATATTTTTATAAAAAAAAAAAAATTGGGTTAATTTTTTTATAAAAATATGTCCAATCAAAAAAATGTTTGATTTGTTTAATAAAAAACTGGTCGAATATTTTTTTTGCTTATTAAAATATTTCTATTTTTGTAAAAAAAAATTGGTCTAATTTTTTTCATTAAAAAATATTGTCGATTTTTTTTAATAAAGGAACTGGTCTTCTAAATGAAGACCTAATGGTATTTTCCCCCAATCAACCCACTGTTCACATCCTGCTGCCTGTGTATGTGTCTATGTGTGTGTGCGTGCAATTTAGTTTTTCTTTAATGTAAATTAAATAAAAAAGACAAAAAGTGAGTGGCGGACATGCCAAAATTAATAAAACAAGAAAAAATGTAGGCGTCAAATTTATAGTCGTTTTACACCGACGTCTGGGGTCTGGATGATGGTGCAGCAGTTCCGTTCAGTTTAGTCCAGTGCAGAGACAGTCAGTGTGGCTGGTGTCTGACTGTCTGTCCAGTGTTTGGGGGGTAATTCAATTAAAAACCCGACTTCATTGAAAACAAAAACTAAAGAATTTCCACAAATTATAGAAATTCCGCGAATAAAACAAGAAGAAGAAGAAGAAGAACGGAATAAATTATTCGCAGAAATCTTTGCTGAGCGAAAAAACCCCCAACACAACAAGAAGAAAAATTTCGATAAACAAAGTTCAAGGGGAAGGAAATTGTTAAAAATACATAAAAACTAATAACAAGTACTTGTAAGAAGAAGAAGAAGAAAATAACAATAACAACAACATTGTTGTTATTGTGGTTGGGAGACACTCACACACATACACACACTCACAGTTAGGCGATACTTATCGTGGCTCCACCAAGGCCACCATATAATGAGGTTGTGTTGTTATTATTTTTGTCGTTGTCGATACCCCAAGAGAAGGTATTCAATTTCGTCCTTTAATGTTGACGGAAAAACAACAACAAATAAAGAGAAGGAGAAGCAAGAGAATGGAATGGGGAAAGTAATCAGGGGTACCATGACAAAACAATTGTTTTCGTGTTAGAAACCATTAGAAAAATTTTATATCGTTGGTGGTTTTTGTGGTCAGTTTCGTTTTTTTTTCCTTTACAAGGGGGGCTGTGTTTTGGATTGGGCTAGAGAGAGGGAGAGAGCAGTGGGAGTTGAGATTGTGGAAAATATATTTTTGTTTCAAACCACATCGTTGTTGTTTTAAATGAAATATAATCCAACATCTAAAAACACACCATAAAGGTCAGTCGTCATTAGAAATGCTGCTAAGGGCTGGAGGGGGGTTATAAAAACAACAAAAACAAAGTCGTCGAAAATTAAAATTAATCATAACGAAATGTTTTTATGTGGAGATTGATTTGATTTTTTTTTTCAAATAGAAAGAAAATACGAGGAATTTTTTATTGAAAAAAAATTCGAATAATTTTCTAATCGAAAAAAATATTTGATTAAAACAAATACTCAAATTAAAAAAAAAACTTCGTGAAAAATGTTTAAAAAAAAAGTTTTTTTTTTTTTTTTTGTAAAAATTTTTTTTTATATGTACAGAAATATTTGAAATTTGTCCACATAGAGACGAACCATTTTCAAAATCAAGAATAGCCAGTAAGGAAAGTTCAAAAGTCGGACGGGGCCGACTATATGATACCCTTCACCACTATAGTACACCATTTACATAAAATCGGACGAAAATATATAAGGGACCTATATCAAAATCAGAACCGATTTTCACGAAACTTAGCACATATCATTCTAGACCCAATTCAGTACTCTGTGCCAAATTTCGTGCACATCGAAAAACATATATGAACTTTGGTGCACCATTTACATAAAATCGGACGAAAATATATATGGGAGCTATATCTGAATCTGAATCGATTTTCACAAAACTTAGCACACATCATTCTAAACCCAATTCAGTACGCTGTGCCAAATTTCGTGCAAATCGAAGGATAAATAGGGACTTTGGCATTATTTACCTAAAATCGGACGAAAATATAAATGGGAGCTATATATAAATCTGAACCAATTTTCACGAAATTTAACACACATCATTGTATATTCAATTCAGTACGCTATGCCAAATTTCGTGCAAATCAATGGATATTTAGGGACTTTGGTGCACCATTTACCTTAAATCGGACGAAAATATATATGGGTGCAATATCTTAATCTGAATCGATTTTCAAGGAACTTAGCACACATCATTCTAGACTTCATTCTAGACTTCACACATCATTCTAGACTGCAAATCGAGAGATATATAGGGACTTTGGTGCATCATTTACATAAAACCGGACGAAAAAATATATGTGGGAGCTATATCTAAATCTGAACCCATTTTCACAAAACTTAGCACACATCATTCTAAACCCAAATTCAGTACGCTAGGCCAAATTTCGTGCAGATCGAAAGATATTTAGGGACTTTGGTGCACCATTTACCTTAAATCGGACGAAAATATATATGGGTGCAATATCTTAATCTGAATCGATTTTCAAGGAACTTAGCACACATCATTCTAGACTTCATTAAGTGCGCTACGTCAAATTTCGTGCAAATCGAGAGATATATAGGGACTTTGGAGCATCATTTACCTTAAATCGGACGAAAATATATATGGGTGCAATATCTTAATCTGAATCGATTTTCAAGGAACTTCGCACACATCATTCTAGACTTCATTAAGTGCGCTACGCCAAATTTCGTGCAAATCGAGAGATATATAGGGACTTTGGTGCATCATTTACATAAAACCGGACGAAAATATATATGGGAGCTATATCTAAATCTGAACCCATTTTCACGAAACTTAGCACACATCACTCTAGACTTAATTCAGTACGCTATGCCAAATTTCGTGCAAATCGAAAGATATATAGGGACCATTTACATAAAATCGTACAAAAATATATATGGGAGCTTCATCTAAATCTGAACCGATTTTCACGAAACTTAGTACACATCATTCTATACTCAATTCAGTATGCTGTGCCAAATTTCGTGGAAATCGAAAGGTTTATAGGGACTTTGGTGCATCATTTACATTAAATCGGACGAAAATATATATGGGAACTATATCTTAATCTAATCCGATTTTCTCGAAACTTGACACGAATCATTCTAGACTCAATTAAGTGCGCTGTGCCAAATTTCCTGCAAATCGAAAGATATATAGGGACTTTGGTGCATCATTTACATAAAATCAGACGAAAATATATATGGGAGCTATATCAAAATCTGAACCGATTTTCTCGGAACTTAACACACATCATTGTAGAATTAATTTAGTACGCCATGCCATATTTCGTTCAAATCGAAAGATATATAGGGACTTCGGTACACTATTTACATTAAATCGGACAAAGATGTATATGGGAGCTATATCGAAATCTGAACCGATTTTCCCGAAACTTAACACACATCATTCTAGACTCAATTAAGTGCGCTGTGCCAAATTTCATCCAATTCGGATCATTAATGCGCCATTTACCTTATACGGGAGCTACATTTAAATCTGAACCATTTTTTTCCCAATTTCAGTAGAGTTCGTCCATGGGCCAATTAAGTGATCTTTGCCAAATTTTATCCAATTCGGATCATAAATGCGACCTGTACTTTGTTTACAAGTTAACATGGACAGACAGACGGACAGACATGCATGAATCGATTTAAAACGTGATTCTATGTATATTCTCAAGAGGAACCATGGGTCTATCTCGTTTCCTTTTGCCTGTTACAAACATATGCACAAAGACATAATACCCTGTACCACAGTGTGGTGAAAATTAAAGAATGGATTAGTTTGAAAAATTGGTAATTTTTTAGAAAAAAAATATTTTTTTTAACTTTTTTTTGGAGGAATTGGTCGAATTTTTTTTCGACCAAAAATAAATTGATCGTTTTTTTTTTTTGAATAAAATGACCATAATTATCATTTTCTTTTTTTTAAATTGGTCAAAATTTTTCTTGCCCAAAAAAAAAAATGGTCGAAATATTTTTTCATATACCAAAAAAAGAAAAATTAAAATATGAGGTATTTTGAGAAAATGGAAATTTTTTGGTAAAAATTTTAATTATTTTGTTTGAAAAAAATTGGTCATTCTTTTAACCAAAAGTAAATTGGTAAAGTTTTTTGATATTTTTTTTTTTGATTGAACGACCACAATTAATCAAAAAAAAAAATTAAATTTCAAAATTTTTCTTGCCCAACGAAAATTTGGTCGATTTTTTTTTTAACCTTTCAAAAATCTTGGTATTTAGCAATTTGAAAATACAAAATTTTCGGATTTTTTCTTTAAATTTTATATATATATTTTTTTTTTCAAAAAATTGGTAGATTTTTTTTCACCAAAAATAAATTGGCCGGGTTTTTTTTTTTAGTTTTTTTGTTTTAATTATACATAAAAATAATTATTTAAAACAAAATTGGTATTTTATGTACTCGGTTTTTCAAAAGAAAAAAAAACTAATAGTCGAATTTTTTTGGCCCAAAAATTTCGATCGGCAAATTTTTTGGATGTATAAAAAGAAGACTTTTATTAGAAAAACAAATAAATTGGCAATAATTTCAACCAAACTTTTTTTGTTTGAATTTTTTTTTGGCCCAAAAATTTGGTTGAAATTTTTTTGGCCCAAAAATTTGGTCAAAAAAAAAAAAAAAAAAAATTAAAGTTAGTCAAAATTTCTCTTGGTTGATTTTTTTTTCTTCCCAAAAAAAAAAAAAAAAAAATGGTCGAAATATTTTTTGATATACAAAAAAGAGAAAAATTAAAATATGAAGTATTTTGAGAAAATGGAAATTTTTTGGTAAAAATTTTATTTTTTTTTTGTTTGAATAAAATTGGTCCATTTTTTTAACCAAAAATAATTTGGTAATGTTTTTTGATATATTTTTTTTTTTGATTGAACGACCACAATTAATAAGAAAAAAAGATTTTTTTTAAATTTCAAAATTTTTCTTGCCCAACGAAAATTTGGTCGGTTTTTTTTAAAGCCTTTCAAAAATGTTGGTATTTAGCAATTTTATATTTTTTTTTCAAAAAATTGGTAGATTTTTTTCACCAAAAATAAATTGGCCGTTTTTTTGTTTTAATTATGCATAAAGATAATTATTTAAAACAAAATTGATTTTTTAGGTACTTGGTTTAAAAAAAAATGGTCGAATGTTTTTCTTGGCTCAAAAATTTTGGTCGAAATTTTTTTTTTAGAAAAACAAATAAATTTGCAATCATTTTTTTTTAATTTTTTTTTCACTCAACCAAATTTTTTTGGCCCAAAAATTTGGTCAATTTTTTTTGGGCCCAAAAATTTGGTCAAAAAACAAAAAAATTTTTAAAGTTAGTCAAAATTTCTCTTGGTTGATTTTTTTTTCTTCAAATTTATAATTTTTTATTTTTCAAAAAATTGGTAGATTTTTTTTGACCAAAAATAAATTTGCCGTTTTTTGGTACTTTTTTGTTTGAATTATGCATAAACATAATTATTTAAAACAAAATTGATTTTTTATGTACATGGTTTTTATACAAAGAAAAAAAAAAATTGGTCGAATTTTATTTTTGGCCCAACAATTTTGTTCGAAAAAAAATTTTTGATGTATAAAAAGAACACTTTTTTTTAGAAAAACAAATAAATTTGCAATCATTTTTTTCACTCAACCAAATTTTTTTAGGCGACATTTTTTTGGCCCAAAAATTTGGTCGAAATTTCTTTGGCCCAAAAATTTAGCCAAAAAAGAAAAAAAAAAATTTTAAAGTCAATATTTCTCTTGGTTGATTTTTTCTTCTTCAAATTTATAATTTTTTTATTTTTAAGAAAATTTGTAGTTTTTTTTGACCAAAAATAAATTGGCCGTTTTTATGTACTTGGTTCATTTTTATGTACTTGGTTTTTATATAAAAAAAATTGGTCGAATTTTTTTCTTGGCCCAAAAATTTTGGTCGAAAAAAAGTTTTGATGTGTAAAAAGACGACTTTTTTTTAGAAAAACAAATAAATTTGCAATCATTTTTTTTGGCCCAAAAATTTGGTCGAAATTTTTTTTAATATAAAAAGAAGACGTTTAAAAAAAATGGTCTATTTTTTTTGGCCCAAAAATTTTGGTGGAAAAAATTTTTGGATGTATAAAAAGAAGACTTTTTTAGAAAACAAAAAAAAAAAAAAAAAATTGCAATCATCGTTTTTAATTTTTTTCACTCAACCAAATTTTTTGGTCAAAATTTTTTTTTGGCCCAAAAATTTGGTCGATTTTTTTAAGTATAAAAAGGTTTTTTTTAGAAAACAAATAAATTTGAATTATGTATAAACATAATTATTTAAAACCAAATTGATTTTTTATGTACTTGGTTTTTATAAAAACAAAAACAAAATTGGTCGAATTTCTTTTGGCCCAAAAATTTTGGTCGAAATTTTTTTGGCCCGAAAATTTGGTCGAATTTTTTTTTTAAACATAAAAAGAAGGCTTATTTAAAAAAAAATTGGTCGAATTTTGTTGGCCCAAAAATTTTGGTCGAAATAATTTTTGATTATAAAAAGAAGCCTTTTTTTAGAAAAACAAATAAATTTGCAATCATTTAATTTTTTTCACTCAACCAAATTTTTTTGGTCGAAATTTTTTTTGGCCCAAAAATTTGGTCAACATTTTTTTGGCCCAAAAATTTGGTCAGAATTCTTTTTTAAGTGTAAAAAGAAGGCCCTTTTTAGAAAACAAATAAATTTGCAAACTTTTTTAATTTTTTTTTTCACTCAAACAAATTCTTTTTTTTTCCATATTTGTTTTCTTTTTTTAAATCCCTTTTTTTCAAATTTTCACGAAAATTTATTTCCTTGACATGGCCATTGAAAATCCCGTGGTTTAATTTTCCTTTCAAGTGATTAATAAAGTGCTATTTTTTGTTGCTCTGCAATTTTCAATTTTTAGTTGAGTTAATTTTTCATCTGTCACCAGCACCACCACCAACCGACCGACCAAACAGTCAGTGGCTGTGGGACCTGATTTGCATATAAAAGCCATTTAAACGTTTCCATGCAACAGCGCTATTATGGGCCTGATGTATGGATGCTTTAAAGACATTTTGCAGCAGACACCTACACCACATCTGAAATGAAAACTGCAGAAGAAAAAAATCTCATCGACACTTGGCACGTTTTGACTTAGAGAATGCTCATATAAATTGCTCATATAAATTTTCTTTAAATGAAAATGAAAGCATTTTTCGATTTATGATTTTTTCTTAGCAGGAGATTGGTGTGTGGAAACTGGATTGTGGAAAAATTTTCCATTATAAAAAGGAAAAAATTACATTTTAAGGCGGACAATGACAATAGGAGGTGGTGCCTTGAAATTTCCTTCTTTTTTATTGGAAAAATATTTAAATTTATTTTCTTCGATTTTTTTTTTTCTAATATCCCCTCCCTCTCTCTTTTTTCCTTTCCTTTCCAGATAACTCCATTGGGCAAAAAACGTGTCCTGGCCAATGCCAACATCAACATGCGCAAATATGCCAGTATCGAATCGACCCAACAAAGTTTCACCCTAAGCCTCAAGCCGGTGTCACGTAAAGTGACCTCAGCGGAATTGGAATTAACCATCAGCTGTGTGTTCCTAAGGGAGGGTAAAGCCACGTAAGTTTTATAGATTTCCCCCGACTCCTTTTTCCCATAGAATTATTTATTATCCTCCTCTCTTTCTCAGCGATGAAGACATGCAAAGTGTTGTCTCTCTGATGTCGGTGAATAACAACTGTGATGTTGCCCCTCTCGATGATTTGGAGGATATTCCGGATTTGGAAAATTCCGCCGATATCTCAGATCATTTGTTCGATTTCACACAGCAACTGGAACAAATGACAACCAGTCTGAATGGTTGCATGGATCTACCGACGCCATTGAGTGGTAAGTTGTGGTTGCAGAGAGGTTACTCGCTCGCTCTCTTTTGTTGTTGTCGTCATATATTCGTTATGTTTCGTTTTTTGTTCGTTTTCACATCGTCATTGTCATCATAACCATCTATCTCATTGTTCCGAATTTTGTAGTTTTGTTTATAAATATTTCATATAGATAATATATAGTAAATATTATATATAAAATATTTTTTAAAATTTTTTTAGAGAAAAAATATTTAGATATTTTTTTAGATTATAAATAAAATTGTGTCTTCTTTGAGGGAAAGGGGTGAAAAGAGAGATTTTTATTATTTAAAAAAAATATTTTTTTTTTTTTTTTATAAAAAAAATTAAAAAACAAATATTTAAAACAAATTAAAAAAATATTTTTGATAAAAATATTAAAATCTTTAAAAAAATGTTTTTTTAAGAATAAATAAATTCCGAAAAAAATGTTAAAAAAAAATTAAAAAAATATTTTTTGAAAATTAAAAAAAATTAAATTTTTATTATTTAAAAAAAATATATTTTTTTAATTTTTTTTTATATATAAAAAAATAAAAAAACAAATATTTAAAACAAATTAAAAAAATATTTTTTGAAAAAAATATTAAAATCTTTATAAAAAAATATTTTTTTTAAAAACCAATAAATTCGGAAAAAATATTACAAAAAAATTAAAACAATATTTTTTGAATAAAATTAAAAAAAAAAATAAATAAAAACAAAAAATTCCGAAAAAATCCCAGAACCTACAGAATGTTGGTAGCCCAATGACAAGGCCAAAATCATCACATTTCAACATTATTTTATTTTTTTATATAAAAAATTAAAAAACAAATTACAAAAAAAAATATTTAAAAAAATATTTTTGAAAAAAATATTAAAATCTTTAATTTTTTTTTTAAACCAATAAATTCCCAAAAAAAATATTACAAAAAAAAAAAATTAAAAATATTTTTTGAAAATTAAAAAAAATTAAATTTTTATTATTTAAAAAAAATATATTTTTTTTATTTTTTTATATAAAAAAATTAAAAAACAAATATTTAAAACAAATTAAAAAAATATTAAAAAAATATTTTTTGAAAAATATATTAACATTTTTAAAAAAATATTTTTTGAAAAAAAAAACAATAAATTCCAAAAAAAAAAAAAAATTAAACAAAAATATTAAAATCTTTAAAAAATGTTTTTTTTAAGAATCAATAAATTCCGAAAAAAATGTTACAAAAAAATTAAAACAATATTTTTTGAATAAAATTAAAAAAAATAAATAAATAAAAACAAAAAAATTCCGAAAAAAAATCCCAGAACCTACAGAATGTTGGTTGCCCAATGACAAGGCCAAAATCATCACATTTCAACATTATTTCATTTTTTTATATAAAAAATTAAAAAACAAATTACAAAAAAAAATATTTTTGAAAAAAAAATATTAAAATCTTTAATTTTTTTTTTAAACCAATAAATTCCCAAAAAAATATTACAAAAAAAAAAACATATATTTTGAAAATTAAAAAAAAATTAAATTTTTATTATTTAAAAAAAAATATTTTTTTTTTATTTTTTTATATAAAAAAATTAAAAAACAAATTAAAAAAATATTAAAAAAATATGTTTTGAAAAATATATTAAAATTTTTAAAAAAATATTTTTTGAAAAAAACAATAAATTCCAAAAAAAAAAAATTAAACAAAAATATTAAAATCTTTAAAAAATGTTTTTTTTTTAAGAATCAATAAATTCCGAAAAAATATTAAAAAAAAACTAAAACAATATTTTTTGAATAAAATTAAAAAAAAAAATAAAAACAAAAAATTGCGAAAAAAAATTGAGAACCTACGGAATGTTGGTAGCGCAATGACAAGCCAAAATATCAAATTTCAACCAATTTGGTTGAAAAATATTCTCGAAATCCCCATAATACCGAATATTGAGATGTACCGTTATAATGGGAGTTACCTCAAATCTAGAGTCAATATTGATCATTTTTGGGTAGGAAGATTTGCTAATTAGGTTGAAAAATGTGACCAAACTCCCCTAAATATTGAAAATAGGAAGGTTAGGTTATATGGGGTCTATACCAAAAATTAGACCAATATTGATTTTTGATAGGTACCCTAAACCCCTCAAAATATCGAAATTTGGAAGGTACGATTAAATGGGGGTATCGTAAAATGTGGACCAATATTGATAAGTTTTTGTGGGGAGATTTATTATCCAATCAGAATCAAAAATATCAAATTTTAGCCAATTTGGTTGACAATTTTGACCAAACACCACAAAATATCGAACTTAGGAAGGTTCGGTTATATGGGGGCTACCATAATAAATGGACCAATCTAGATAATTTTTGGTGGGAAGATTTGCTACCCTATGAGAACCTTGAATCCCAAATTACAGCCAATTTTGAGGAAACTGTGCCCAAACTCTCCAAAATATCGAAATTTGGGAGATACGTTTATATGAGGGCTACCCTAAATAATGGACCAATATTGATCAATTTGGGTACTGTGATTTATTATCCAAGGAGACTCCAAAATACCAAATTAGAGCAGATTCGATTCAAAACTGTGTCCAAACTTCCCAAAATACCGAAATTCCGAAGGTTGGGTTATATGGGGTTTATACAAAAACGAAGACCAATATTGATAATTTTTGGTAGGAAGATTCGCTACCCTACGGGAAGCCAAAATACCAAATTAAAACCCATTCGGATGAAAACTGTGCCCAAACTCCCCAAAATATCGAACTTAGGGAGGTTTGGTTACGTGGGGGCTATTCTAAAAAATGCACATATTCTGATAATTTTTGGAAGGAAGATTTGCTACCCTATGAGAAGCCAAAATACAAAATTACAGTCAATTCGGTTGAAAACTGTGCTCAAACTGCCCGAAATACCGCAAATTTGGAAGGTACGGTTATGTGGGGGCTATCCTAAAATGTGGACCAATATTGATAATTTTTGGTAGGAAGATTTGCTACCCTATAAGAACCCAAAATACCAAATTACAGCCAATTCGGTTCAAAACACTGCTCAAACCCCCGAAATTCCGCAAATTTAAGGGTACCCTTATATGGGGGCTACCCCGAATCTTAAGTCAATATTTATAATTATTGTTAGGAAGATTTGTTACTCTATGAGAACCCAAAATATCAATTTACTGCCAATTCGGCTGAAAACTGTTCCCAAACTCCCCATAATATCGAAATTTAGAGGGTACCGTTATATGGGGCCTACACCGAAACCTGAGTCGATATGGATAACTTTTGGTTGAGTGATTTTATATTGGGTAAGAACCCGAAATACCAAATTACATCCAATTTTGTTGAAACCCCTACTCAAACTCCTCAAAATATCGAAATTCGGGAGGGTTCGGTTATGTGGGAGATATACCAAAACGTGGACCAATATTAATAATTTTTGGTGGGGAAACTGAAACTGAAACCTTGATCAATATTTTTGGTATGATGATTTAATATTGGGTAAGAACCCGAAATACCAAATTACAGTCAATTCGGTTGAAAAAAACCTGCTCAAACTCCCCAAAATATCGAAATTTGCGGGTTCGGTTATATGGGAACTATACCAAAACGTGGACTGATATTAATAATTTTTGGTGAGATGATATTCTACACAATGAGAACCCAAAATACCAAATTACACACAATTCGATTGAAAACTGTGCCCAAAATGTCGAAATTTTGAGGGTTCGCGTATATGGGAGCTATACCAAAACGTGGACCAATATTGTTAATTTTTGGTGGTGAGATTGGCTACTCATTGAGAATACAAAATACCGAATTACAGCCAAATCGTTTGAAATAGCGTGCCCAAAATTCTCAAAATATCACAATTTGGGAGGTTAGCTTCTATGAGGGCTATACCGAAACTTGGACCAATATTGTTCATTTTTAGTAGGGAGATTTTCTACCCAATGAGAACCAAACATATGAAATTACAGCCAATTCGGCTGAAAAACGAGCTCAAAATCCCCATAATGTCGAAATTTCAGGGTACCCTGGAGGCTATATCAACACCTGAACCGATATTGATAATTTTTAGTGAGATTATTTGCTATCTAATGTGATCTCAAAATACCAAAGATTAACCAATTCATTTCAAAAACGAGCTCAAAATCCCCAAAATATTGAAATTTTAGAGGTTAGCTTATATGGGACTTATATCAAAACATGGACCCATATATTTCATTTTCAATCCTGAGCATCCTAGTAGTATTGTTAATGTATGTGCAAAATTTCAAGGCTCTATTTTAAATATTGACCTTAAATATTGCCGATCAAGAATATAGGAACTCTGTGGGGTCTTCGGCAAATTTTTTGGGGTGTTCGATACGTAATGAAAAATTTTGCTACCTAATGAGATCTCAAAATACCAAATTTTAGCCAAATCGTTTGAAAAACACGCTCAAAATCCCCAAAATATTAAAATGCGGGAGCTATGCCTAAACGTGGACCAATATTTTCATTTTCAATTCTGAGCATCCTAGTAATATTAGTAATTTATGTGCAAAATTTCGAAGCTCTATCAAAAATATTGCCGGCTCCATTGTCATAGAAGTTAATTCCGATCAAGATATTATTGTACCTTATGGGGTCTTCGGTGAATTTTGGGGAGTGTTCCACTTCCGAATGACAAATTTCATATACCCTCCAGCTTATGGTGGTATGATTATTTGCTACCTAATGAGATCTCAAAATACCAAATTTTAGCCAAATCGTTTGAAAAAACGAGCTCATCGTCATAGAAGTGAATTCCGATCTAGAATATAGGTACTCTGTGGGATCTTCGGTGAATTTTTGGGGTGTGGCAAATCCGAATGACAAATTTAATATACCCTCCAGCTTATGTTGGCATGTACAAAAATTGTCAAATCTCTGCCATTATTATTGTGGGCTCTGTCGCCATAGAAGTTAATTCCGATCAGGAATATATACGCTTTATGGGGGTCTCTGGTGAATATTTCGAGGTGTTGCAAACGGAGTGAATATACCCTCCTTCTTAAGATGATGGATCTCATAATAATTTTGGGATTTTTGAAATTAATTTTTTTATTTATTTTTTGGTTCCATTTTTTCCTCTCTCTCTCTCTCTTTGGCCCTTTCACTCTCTCTCCAAGGAAGACACAATTTTTCGTTAAATTTATATCCCTTTTTCAGAAATTTAGTCTAGTCTTTAGTAGTCTAAAAAATATATATCTGTAGTCCATCATTAGTTTCTTGTCTTAATGTCATTCTATCATCATGCATTCCATCATCCATTCTATTGCATCATTTAGTAATCAGTCCATACAATATAACCAATAATATTGTTAAATATGTTATTAATTTAATTTTAATTGTAAAAAATATATATTCTACTCTACTCTTTTTTTCTTCTTTTATTCCGCAAACAAAAAAATCGAAAAAAATCCAACAACAACTACAAAAAAATCAAAATCGAATCCAATAACAAAAACAAACAATTTGGCCCATTCACTTTCGATACAAACATCATGAACCAAAAACACACATACATACACACATCAAAATCAATAAAAAAAATAATTGAACGGTATCTGACCCCCTGCCCCCTCTCTCTCTCTCATTTTGTTATTGTGTGTGTATAAATGTTTTGTTTTCGTAAACTGTTATACTCGAAATGGAACTACAAAAATATAATTATACTCCCCCTTGGTCCTGTACTCTCCACCCATGTAACACCCATCCACCCTGAAAATGTTGTGTCGTTGTTATTTTGTGTGTGTGTGTGCGTAACGTAACGTGTAGTACCTTCTTTGTCCGAAGACCCAACTCCATTGGCCGAAGTTAATAATTTAAATTTTGAATTTGAATCAGACAAACAGCAGCAGCCCCCTTTTACACCGCCACCCGGGGATGATGGTGATTTTATGGAGGATTCGCTGAAGACACCAAGTGCTAGCCAGGCACCAACGGCCACGGCCGGAACACTGCCCACAACATCGTCTTCATCATCCAGAGAACCAGTTCCTAATAGTGAAACGGAAATATTGACCGGCGAGGAGAAATCAACAAAGAAAGAACCCAATCGGCTGATGCGTATTGTAACCTCCACACCCATAGCCAAGGTGTTCGATCCGAAGAAGTCAACGGAAAAGGCCAACGAGGAGCCCATAAAACCCGCACGCAAGGGTTTGAAATTTTCATCCACCTCAACATCGTCATCTCAAGAGGAGGCAAACAAAGAATCATCCTCCTCATTAACGAAGAATGGTTCGGTGGTGGAAGAGACCAAAGAAACGGAACAAAAATCCACCAAGGATGATGATACACTGGAGTTATCCTTTGACAGTCATCGCATTGCTGAATCAACAAAAATCTCAGATAGTACCATAACAGCCACAGAGGGTGCTGATACTACTAAGGAGGAGGAATTGAAAATTTCCGATTCGCAAGAAAAGAAAGAGGACACCACCAAATCCCAATCCACCAGCAATGAATCAAAGGACAATTTCTCTGCCAAACTCAATGAATTGGATATTTCATCGGCCTCTTTCAAAACGGAAAATCACAAACGTCCTGAACTGCAGCCGCTGAATTTAAAGAAATCCTATGAATCCATAGAACCGACAGCGAATAATAGCAACAACACCTCTAATAATGGCACCCACAACACAACCTCCAATAGCACGCTTAACACCTCTACGAACAACAGTAGCAGTAGTATTCAAAATAATACTACCTCCAAGCCGCCATCGGGAGCCAATTCAACAAATGGCCACCTATCCCTTAGCAATGGCGGAATTGGCAATAATTCTCTGAAGCCCGTGGAGAAAATCGTTCTCAAGGAAAATACACCTGGGCAGGATTTGCTGGAATGGTGCAAAGAAGTTACCAAAGAATATCCAAATGTTAAGGTTACCAATCTCACGACCAGTTGGCGTAATGGCATGGCCTTTTGTGCTATCATTCACCATTTCGAACCCAACCTAATGTAAGTAGAGAGGCCTTGAAATAATTAATAAATTTCGATTAATGGATAAAATTAGATTTTTAGGTCATAAGGATAAAATGGATAATATTTTTGTGACCTGCGGATATTTCGGATACGATTTATAGGTTATTCGGATAACATTTTGAGGTTATACGATAAAATTTCTAGGTGTCGGATAATATTTTAAGGCTATCCGAAGTTGTCGAATAATATTTTAAGATTATGCGCAGGTGTCGGATAACATTTTTAGGTTATCCTAATGTTTCGCAAAATATTTTAAGGTTATCCGAGTGCCTCGAATAACAATTTAAGGTTATCCGAAGGTGTCGGATATTATAATTTATGCTTATCCAAAGGTGTCGGATAATATTTCTCGGTTTTCCGAGAGGTTCGGATAATATTTTAAGGCTATCCGAAGTTGTCGAATAATATTTTAAGGTTATCCAAAGGTGTCGGATAATACAATAAGGCTATCCGAATGTTATTCGAGTGGTTCGGATAACATTTTAAGGTTATTCGAGTGGTTCGAAAATATATTAAGGTTATTCGAATGTCTACGATAACATTTCCAAATTTTCCTAGATTATCCGAAGGCCTTGGAAAACATTTATATGTCATCCGAGTGGCTGGGAAAACATTTGTATGTCATCCTAGTGGTTCGGATAATATTTTAAGGTTATCCGAGTAGCTGGGATAATATTTTTAGGTTATCCGAGTAGCTCGGATAATATTTTAAGGTTATCCGAGCGGTTCGGAAAATATTTTAAGGTTATGGGAGTGGTTCGGATAATATTTTAAGGTTATGGGAGTGGTTCGGATAACATTTGGTGGTTATCCGAGTAGTTCGGATAACATTTTCAGATTATCCCAGTGGTTCGGTTAATATTTTAAGGTTATCCGAATATTACGGATAATATTTTAAGGTTATCCGAATATTACGGATAATATTTTTAGGTTATCCGAAGGTGTCGGATAACATTTTAAAGTTATTCGAATGTCCCGGATAACATTTCTAGATTATCCGAAAGCCTTGGATAAAATTTCTATGTCATCCGAGTGGTTCTGATAACATATTGAGGTTATCCGAATGTCTCGGATGGAATTTCTAGGCATCCGAGTGGTTCGGATAACATTTTAAGGTAATCCGAGAAGTTCGGATAACATTTCTACGTTATACGAGTGGTTAGGATACTATTCAAAGTTTATCCGAAAGTTTCGGATAACATTTTCAGATTATCCGAGTGGTTCGGATAACATTTCTAGGTTATCCTAGTGCCCCGGATAATATTTAAGGTTATGTGAGTGGATAATATTTTAATGTCATCCGGTTGCTTCGGATAACATTTCTAGCTTATCCAAATGGCTCTGATAATATTTCTATGTTATCCGAGTGTTTCGAATAACATTTTAAGTTTAATAGAGTGGTTTGGATAACATTTTCTAGTTATTCGAATGTTTCGGATAACATTTTAAAGATGTCAGAGTGACTCAGATAGCATTTCTATGTTATCCAAATGTGTCGGATAACATTTTTAGGTTATCCGAATGTGTCGGATAACATTTCTAGGTTATCCGAGTGGCTTGGATAACATTTCTAGGTTCGAGAGGCTCGGATAACATTTTATGGTTATCCAGGTGGCTCGGATAATATTTCGAAGTTATCCGAATGTCTCGGATAACATTTCGAAGTTATCCTGATGTCTCGCAGAACATTTCTTGCGACTCGGATAATATTTCTAGGTTATTCGGATGTGCCGGATAACATTTCTAGGTTATCCGAATGCCTCAGATAGCATTTCTAGGATATCCGAATGTCTCGGATAACATTTTTATGTTATCTGAATGTATCGGATTACTTTTCTATGTTATCCCAAATTCTCGGATAGCATTTGTAGGTTATCCGAATGTCTCGGATAATATTTCGAAGTTATCCGAATGTCTCGGATAACATTTCGAAGTTATCCTGATGTCTCGGAGAACATTTCTTGTGACTCGGGTAATATTTCTAGGTTATCCGAGTGACTCGGATAATATTTGTGGGTTATCCGAGTGACTCGGATAATATTTGTGGGTTATTCGAATTTCTCCGAATGTTTCGTATATGTTTCGGATAAAATTTTTTAGGTAATCCAAATGTCTTAGATTATTTTATAAGGTTATTGAAAGCTCCCAGATACATTTCCTAATTTTCCGAAGGTCTCCGAAAATATTCTAGGTTATCCGCAGGTCTCGCATAATACTTATCCACATAACCTAAAGAAATAATTTGACCCTTATCCAAATAAATATCCTGATTCAAATAAATAACCTCCAAAATTTTGTTCTAATATTTCTCCCTCTTGCAGTGACATGTCCAAGTTAACACCACACGATGTGGTCGGCAATTGTCGTATTGCCTTCGATGCTGCCGAATCATTGGGTATACCACGCGTCATTGAGCCACGTGATATGAGTCTGCTGGCGGTGCCGGATAAATTGGCCGTTATGACGTATCTGCATCAATTGCGGGCCCATTTCACCGGCAAACAGCTACAAATTGAACAAATTGGTATGCGAGCGATACACACAGTTAATTGAAAAGACGAGACTTCATTAATAATTCCCCCAATTGTTTTTGTTTTGTTTCGCAGGTCCCACTTCCGATGAGTCCAGCTATGTCATTGGCAATTATAAATCAGACAATTTATCGTCACAGAATCTATTGAATTTATCGCACTTGAAAGCACAACTTCTGCATCAGAACTCATTGGACGATGATATCTTCGGGTTGGATAACAATAAAACCTCCCAATTGTCGCCGACGGCAAAGAAAGATGTTAAGAATTTAATTTTATCGGGATCGAAGAGTATTTTGGGTAAGGTGCTACTATCACCGACGAAAGATAAGAATAGCATCAATGCATCACAGCATTCGAATACCGCAACACAATCATCTGCATCGCCCTTAATTGAAGGCAATGGTTCCTTGGATGATTCGCATCATCTGCATCAGAATGCGGATGAGGTTATTAGCAACTCTTCGAATCAGGAGAATATTTCGCAAAATGCACAACTAAAAGAGAATCTTATCACAGCGACAGCCTTGGATCCAAATACAACAAATGTGAGTCATTTTAAAAATGTTGAAAAGTTCAGAAGTTATTTCGTTAAAGCTTTTGGTTACTTGAAAGCTTTTTCCGCAGTTTCTTTTTAATTTTTATTTTGCTTTGATTTTTATTTATTTTTTGTTCCTTTTTTTGGCTTTGTTTTATTATGCTTTCGGTTTTCGTTTTTGTAGAAAATTTTATCACGTCATAAAGAGCAAAGTGAAAAAGCCCGCCAAATGATGGAGAAATTGCGAATCTCTCAAAATGAGAGACTGGCAAACGATGTAAGTAGAGAGCTTTTATCATTTCATTTTTTCATTATTTTTTATTAATAGTTTATTTAAAAATTTTAATTTTTAGTATTAATGAAATCTTGGTTCATTTAAAGCTTGAGTGTCTTACAAAGTTTTTTTTACAAAAATTTGGTTAAAAGCTTATGTTCAAATTTTGAAATGTTTTTACATTTTTGCTTGAATTTTTAAAACCAAAGCTTTGTTGAGTTCCTTAAAAGCTTTGATGAGCTCAAAAGCTTTAAAACTTCTATGTAAAGACCAGTGGTCTCTGTACCGGCCAATTGGCCTCTATAAAGCCCATTGGTCTCTATAAAGACCTGCGGTTTCTATACCGGCCAATTGGCCTCTATAAATCCCTTTGGTCTCTATACCGGCCAATTGGCCTCTATAAATCTCTTTGGTCTCTATACCGGCCAATTGGCCTCTATAACGACCGTTTGTCTCTATACCGACCAATTGGCCTCTATAACGACCGTTTGTCTCTATACCGGCCAATTGGCCTGTATAAAGACCTGTGGTCTCTATACCGGCCAATTGGCCTTTATAAAGACCAATGGTCTCTATACCGGCCAATTGGCCTTTATACAGACCGTTGGTCTCTATACCGACCAATTGGCCTCTATAAAGCCCTTTGGTCTCTATACCGACCAATTGGCCTCTTTAAAGCCCTTTGGTCTCTATACCGACCAATCGGCCTCTATAAAGCCCTTTGGTCTCTATACCGGCCAATTGGGCTCTATAAAGACCTGTGGTCTCTATACCGGCCAATTGGCCTCTATAAACTCCTGTGGTCTCTATACCGGCCAATTGGCCTCTATAAAGCCCTTTGGTCGCTATACCGGCCAATTGGCCTCTATAAAGCCCTTTGGTCTCTATACGGTTATTTGGCCTCTATAAAGCTCTTTGGTCTCTATACCGATCAATTGGCCCCTATAAAGGCCTGTGGTCTCTATACCGGCCTCTATTGGCCTCTATAAAGACCTGTGGTCTCTATACCGGCCAATTGGTCTCTATAAACTCCTGTGGTCTCTATACCGGCCAATTGGCCTCTATAAAGCCCTTTGGTCTCTATACGGTCATTTGGCCTCTATAAAGCTCTTTGGTCTCTATACCGATCAATTGGCCCCTATAAAGACCTGTGGTCTCTATACCGGCCTCTATTGGCCTCTATAAAGACCTGTGGTCTCTATACCGGCCTCTATTGGCCTCTATAAAGACCTGTGGTCTCTATACCGGTCAATTGGTTTAGACTGGGTTAGTGGGAACCTCAAACCCCCTAAATTTTCATCTCTTTAAATCTTGCCTGACTAATTCTTTTTCTTACTTTCTCCCCTTTAGGAGGAACGTCAACAACGCCTGCGCGAAGAGGCCCGACGCATAATACTCGAGACCCGCGGTAAGGGCTCATCGAATCACAGCAGTCTGGAGAGTCCAACATCACCGACAAAAACTAAACGTTACAATTTCACCTCCGAACGTACAATATCACCGATTAGTAATACTCTGGATTTGGATGATTTCGGAGGAGATGCCTCCGCGCAGCAATCATCGCCCAAAGCACCGTTATCGCCCACGAAGCGTATAACACCACCACGTGATAATGATAGCAGTAGTATAACAACAACAACCACAACAACAAATAGTAAATTAAGTCCTAGTCATAGATTAAGTTTAAATAATGGTGGTGGTGTCGGCGGTAGTGGAATGGCAGCAACCACCCTGCAGTCCTTTAACAATGTTATGGATCGTCTAACACCAAAGAGTGAAAATATGGTAAGCAGAACCGGATTTTAAAGGACCTCAAATGGATTTTCTAATTTTCTCTTCTCTTTTTTCCCCAGCCCGAAAAACTATTATTCATCCAATCCGAATTGGAGGCCCTCGAACGCGAACAGGTGGCTGTCGATCAGAAAGCCAACAGCCTGGAAAAGAAGTTGCGTGCCGTCATGAGCGGAAAACCAAGTAATAATAGTAGAAATAAGGAAAATCCCTTCTTTAGATTAATACGCAATAGTATCGGTGGTGGTGAAACCATACGCATTAAATTGTTAGACATAGAAAATGGTGAATTGTCCCTAACCCCATCGGGTAGTTCAGAATCATGTTCATCGTCATCATCGGATAGCTCATCGCCGGTAAATGGCGATGATGATGATGATGGTGGCAATGGTGGTCATGGTGGGTTTGTTGCGGCTGCAGGCAGTGGTGTTGCCGGTCTCAAGGCCAGCTTGCTAAGGCCATTTTCGGCAGAGCCCACCAAAGTGGTGAGGCGGGTACGCAAACGTCGTCTACATCCCCATATACCAAGGCAACGTTCACGCTCCTGTTGTGTGGCCGAAATGCAAATACCTCGCTCCAATGATTTTGAGTATCAGCAGCATCACAATCCTCCTCCGCAGCCTTCACATCCATACCATCAGAATCAGCATCATCATCGCGAGCCATCGATGGCCAACTTATCGGGTATTAGAGAAAATACTACAACTACTATTTCCAATTCTTCCTGCGCCACTGCAACAACACAACAACCGCCCTATAGTCTATTATCCTCAGCTTCATCCAATCATTCCTCTTGTGATAATTTCAAAATCTGTAGCGATGAAGAAGAACAGCCACAGCAACAACAACACCATTCTCCATTTGTACAAAGACGTCATAGAAGACGTTCAACCTCTCAAAGACGTTCACGAAGTAGAAGTAAAAGTACTGGTGGTAAATGTGTTTTCCTACTCCTCCTCCACGTAACTCTCCTAAACAAAAATTTAGTTTTGTTGCCACATTGTGTTAGATTGCTGCTCTGCGCTGCGCTACTCTCATGGCCGAACTGAAAAACAAAAACCAATCGCTTATTAGTAGCTTTCAATTTAATTAGCAAGCGTAAAATTCTAATAAAGGGGTTTGATAAGTACCTGAGGTCTTTATAAAGACAGGAGGTTTCTATACAGACCAATTAGTCTTTATAAAGACCGGAGGTCTCTATACAAACCAATTGGTCCTTATAAATACATGTGGGCTTTATACCGGCCAATTAGCCTCTACAATGGCCTTTATAAAGACCGATGGTCTCTATACCGGCCAATTGGCCTTTATAAAGAACGATGGTCTCTATACCGGCCAATTGGCCTTTATAAAGACCGATGGTCTCTATACCGGCCAATTGGCCTTTATAAAGACCGATGGTCTCTATACCGGCCAATTGGCCTTTATAAAGACCGATGGTCTCTATACCGGCCAATTGGCCTTTATAAAGACCGATGGTCTCTATACCGGCCAATTGGCCTTTATAAAGACCGATGGTCTCTATACCGGCCAATTGGCCTTTATAAAGACCGATGGTCTCTATACCGGCCAATTGGCCTTTATAAAGACCGATGGTCTCTATACCGGCCAATTGGCCTTTATAAAGACCGATGGTCTCTATACCGGCCAATTGGCCTCTATAAAGACCTTTGGTCTTAATACCGGCCAATTGGCCTTTATAAAGACCGTTGGTCTCTATACCGGCCAATTGGCATTTATAAAGATCGTTGGTCTCTATACCGGCCAATTGACCTTTATAAAGACCGATGGTCTCTATACCGGCCAATTGGCCTTTATAAAGACCGATGGTCTCTATACCGGCCAATTGGCCTTTATAAAGACCGATGGTCTCTATACCGGTCAATTGGCCTTTATAAAGCCCGATGGTCTCTATACCGGCCAATTGGCCTTTATAAAGACCGATGGTCTCTATACCGGCCAATTGGCCTTTATAAAGACCGATGGTCTCTATACCGGCCAATTGGCCTTTATAAAGACCGATGGTCTCTATACCGGCCAATTGGCCTTTATAAAGACCGATGGTCTCTATACCGGCCAATTGGCCTTTATAAAGACCGATGGTCTCTATACCGGCCAATTGGCCTTTATAAAGACCGATGGTCTCTATACCGGCCAATTGGCCTCTATAAAGACCTTTGGTCTTAATACCGGCCAATTGGCCTTTATAAAGACCGTTGGTCTCTACCGGCCAATTGGCATTTATAAAGATCGTTGGTCTCTATACCGGCCAATTGACCTTTATAAAGACCGATGGTCTCTATACCGGCCAATTGGCCTTTATAAAGACCGATGGTCTCTATACCGGCCAATTGGCCTTTATAAAGACCGATGGTCTCTATACCGGTCAATTGGCCTTTATAAAGCCCGATGGTCTCTATACCGGCCAATTGGCCTTTATAAAGACCGATGGTCTCTATACCGGTCAATTGGCCTTTATAAAGCCCGATGGTCTCTATACCGGCCAATTGGCCTTTATAAAGCCCGATGGTCTCTATACCGGCCAATTGGCCTTTATAAAGACCTGTGGTCTCTATACCGGCCAATTGGCCTTTATAAAGACCTGTGGTCTCTATACCGGCCAATTGGCCTTTATAAAGTCCTGTGGTCTCTATACCGGTATACATTGGTGTCTATTAAGACCTGTGGTTTCTATACCGGCCATTTGGCCTCTATAAAGTCCTCTGGTCTCTATGCAAACCCCCCCATCATCCGCTGAACGCTCGTAAGCCTTTCATATCAACCATTACTACTCGTTCGTTCGTTCGTTCATTCGTTAATAATTTTTGTGTCTCTAAAACCAAAACCAAACATGTCATTAATCGCTAAACAAAATAAGCCCCTTGTCAGGCTCTTCATTAACAACCATTTAATCCTTTTGTGTGCCAAATGATCTAATCGTCGTCTTTGTTCTTCGAAACATAAAAATGAACACCAATCCAGCGCTGGAATTTGAAGAACTTGATCGACCCATCCGTCCATTACCATAT